GCTCGCTTAGGGCACCGGCCCTTGCTGCCCGACGCTCGCTTAGGACGCCGGCCCTTCCCGCCCGACGCTCGCTTAGAGCCCGCGCCCTTCCCGCCCGACGCTCGCTTAGGGCGCCTGCTCTTCCCGCCCGACGCTCGCTTAGCGCCCGCGCTCTTCGTGCCCGACGCTCGCTTAGCGCCCGCGCTCTTCGTGCCCGACGCTCGCTTAGGGCGCCCTTCCCGCCCGACGCTCGCTTAGCACCCGCAATAGTTCCTGCCCGACGCTCGCTTAGGGCGCCCGGCGTGTCCTGCACGTCCCTGGCGGCGCACCCTTCAGTCCGCTTGCTTAGCATCTGCGTAGCATACTGCGCGCCGTGTGCCCGACATTCCTTGGTGCAACTTGTCTACGTCATGCTTGATAAAGCGCCGCCGAGATGCCGAAGCAGTGCAGATCGCCATGTGCCTGGGCCTGAGTTGGCATAACACGTGCTGGCTGCCGGATTTCTATATTGAGCATCCACCGCCCATTGACCGAGTCTCGCCACGTGTCATAGAACCCGAGCCGCCGGGTTTCCTCCCACAGGGCGCTAAGCGTGCGCTGCTCTAAGTTGTGAATTCTTCTAAGTCCTATAGATGAGCGGAATGCGCATTTGTGCTCTGTTACATGTACATTTGAAGTAATATATACACTAGTCGTCTAAGTATCCCTCCCATGCATCTTGCAGAAGCTGCTCCGGATCGGCCACGTTGTCGTCGTCGATGTCGTCCTCAAAGGAATCGAAATCGTGTTGGGAAACCAAAGCTGGCGAGGATGAGACAAGACGAGAATCTGCGTCGTCAGTGACTGCGGCATCGCGAGCTGAGTTCGGAACATTGTTGACGTCCGCAGCGACAGCGGCAGGTCCAAAGTCGGCGGGACCAGCTTCCGCAATAGTGGCCGTTGCGGGACCGGGTTCGACGGCGGCAGCAACGGCGCCGGCGTCAGCACCTTGAGCCAGGCTGAGCCGCAGCCTGTCCTGAGCAAGCTTGCGTTTACGCGGTTTGCCGTACTTGATGTATGGTCCTACCCAGTCGCTGCCGAGGTTGTGTTTGAGGAGCACTGGGACCCACTTCGCCGCAAAACCGCGCACTTGCCGACGGAGTATCGATGCTTGCTTACAGGCAGAGGCGTCGAGGGAGTGTCGGAGACTTTCAGAGATGTCGGTACGACGAGCAGGTTGAGATAGCCACCATTCAGCCTTCCACTCCATCCATACGATAGTCCGCCGCATTTCCTCCACCAGAAGAACGACTTCCTCTGCCCATCGCGCTGCACGGGCGTCCGTCTTGGCCCATTCCGCTCGAACCTGCTCGTTCAACTCGACATCCGAAATGTCGTCAACAGAGAAGGCGCGTTCGTTCGGCACGGGTGTCGTCCAAATCCAGGACTTGACGTACGGGGGCTGCTTGCGCTTCTGTTGGCTCTTCGTTGCTGAAGCGACGGGATTCATCTGCTGGCGGAGACGATACTCGAGTTCTTCGTCCTCGTCCCTTCCCGGCCCGCTGACGTGCACATCCTTCAACTCCAGCAGATACGTCGACCAAGACCCCCCAGGATCAAGGACGTTCAAAGCTGTCCATGCGGCTTGATATCGCAGTTTACAGCGAGTGATCTTGTCGCGAAATCCATCGAGAATCGACCTTGACCTCGTGTTCGTTTTCTGCCCAACACCCCACACACTTTTTCGGAGGCGCTCGCTCAAGCCTTGATATACACGGCGAAGGCGGCGTAGGTCGACGAGCGCGTCTTCTGCTTGCGCTACGCGCATACGGCGTTCGATGTAAATGATATTCGCAGGGCAGACTTTTGCCCGAAGTCTCTCAGCCTTGAATGACGAGGGGAGCAGGAGGGGTGCTTTCTCGGGCAAGACGTTGGCCAAGGGATCGTGATCCTCGGGGTCGCGGTTGCCATCTTTGCTAGCCGTAGCCGTAGACGATCGCAAACTTGCGCAGGTCGGCATGTACACGGCTTGGGCTTTGATGAATTCATACAATGCGTACTTCAAAGAAGCGCGCTGTTGTTGAATTGAAACCTTTTGATGAGCGGTATGCTGCGCGTGATTACTGATGCGCTGATCGAGAACTCGTCTGGTTTCCATCATCAGACACCGGAACAACCTACGCGAAGGCAGTGACTTACTGCTTCTCTTCTAATGCAAGCCCGGTCGTGATGAGATCTGCCACGCTCGACTTATGCAATGGTATGGTGGTTGTCTCATCTTGTTCATGAGCGAGCTCCTCCCGAAGAGTGCTGAGGTTGTTCGCTATACGCGCTGATTTAGAGAAACGCGGACTCGTAGTCAAGCGACATGCCTACCTCTCTCAGGCTCTGCGAACGGATTCGGCTGGGAATGGTCCTGTTGCCATGCAATCACCATCTGACGCCACTTCTCGACGGCTGTCGGGGGGAAAGTCGCAGAGAATTTTGATGCGATGTCCTGATAGGCGTTGCGAAGCTGGATGGCTTCGGGCAGGTGCTTGGCAAAATGCGACCCTGGATGCCGATCAGCCGGGAGATGTGATTGCAACGTTATACGCACTGAGATTAGCCCTTTTCCTAAAGTTCCCGCCGCCCACCATATCTTCAAGCACCAATTGACGATGTCCGGGGCCCATCTCGCGGGTACTGGTGGCACATATACCAAGATACGCCCAGAGCTGCTCGATGGTTTCACCATGGGAACGGCCGACTCCTGCGTTCACGTCGAACGAGAAGTTGCATTGACACCCGGGACCGTGAGCATAAAGATGAAATTTCGGAATAAAGAACCGGAGAAGGACCGCCCAAGCGAAGATCAAGAACGCCGGAAGTGCCCCAAACCGCTTCCACAGGTTGATGCAGTAAATGCACATGATATCGTATGACATATTGACTGTCGCGACGTTCTTGGCGACCAATGAAAGCGCAGAAGCCACGACGAAGTCGACGTTAGCATAGCTATGCCAGATGTTAATCAAAATCCAAATACAGGCAAGTCCACTTACCGTTCGCCTTTCTGCAAATCACCCATGCCGTTCGGAAGCAAAAAGACATGACGGGAGCATACTACGCCAACAACACCGGTAGCGACCGTCTTCGAATTGCCCCGCGTGAGCGCCTGCTGTACGGCGTGATACTGATTTCCGCACGGCGGTATCTGATGACCGTGGATTTAGCGGCCGAATCCGCAATCTCGGAGCTATGACAAAAGCGCCGCACCTCCTCGGCATCGTTTGCCGCCTTCAGATGCTCCTGATACTGCTCTGCGTTCACAAAATAAGACCACCCGTCACCGAATATCACATCCTCGATACCGCGATCCTTGAGTTTGAGCCGAAAACAAGCATCGACGGCGATGAATAGAGCATATTTCCACCTGTATGTAGTCTTGAGACTCGAAATGAAAGCGGAAGTGCAATGCGTACCTTTCTTCTAATGGGACATGGTGTAAATCGAGAGGGGCGTTGATTCCTGGATGCGGGCAAGCTGGACAGATTACCGAAAGGGCCCCGCGTGGCGTTTTCACGACGCCTTCATTAATGAAGACGCATCCCGCCCACTGCAGTTGCTTGAGGTGACGCCAGATGCGCTCGGCGAATTCAATTGCGTGTCGATGGTACTACCGGCGATCAGTAACAGTAACCAGCCCGTGGGCAACTGCGACAACTCACTGAGACAGCACGTACAGTGGCATTATCAGCCTTGTACTGGACGGTTTGGTGATAGTCCCATAACGTAGTCTTCGCGGTGAGGGACAGGAGTTGAAAGGTCTTGAGGAAGTCAAAAGTCACGGCAGTACGTGGTCGCTTCCACGTTACGGGCATCCAGCGAGTGCGGAGTAGCTGAATATGGTGCTCAACCGATTGACAGTCACAGAATGCTAGCTTGACGATGTGCGGCCCATTCGAATGAACGACC